AGAGGCCCTACGACAAGAACCTATCCAAGTATATTTTTTCTTTTTTTTTTTAAAAAAGGAAAATCGAGATATGATCAAACAAATAAATAGACTATTGAGATGATATTTATATTTCGAAAGGTATTTACTACCTAATATAATTAGGTTCCATCAAAATATCTTTCACCATCGTGTCAATAAAATTGGAAAGTTTGTTGAGATTTATAATCAAATTAAGGGTAGATGTTGGTTTTTAAAAAMAGTTCAACTATGTTTTCGTGTCTTGTTTCATTTCGATGTGTATTTTTTTTTTTCAAAAGGTTCATTTTAGCATTTGTCTTTTCAACGTTTGCGTTGCACTCTTAAAAGGGATTAATTTGGTCCCTTTTTTAAAAATTTTTAACACAAATTTTATACGCAAATAGAAGTTATTTAATATAAATTTATGATTATATTTGAAGAAAATTTTTGAATTGATCATTAATGTCATGTTAAAACTGATCCAAATAAATGAGATAAAATAAAAGTAAAGCGAAAAAAATGATCACTCCTTCTAAAATACAAAGACCAAAGTAGACACTTTAAAAGTATAATAACTAAAATGAATAAAAGTTGAAAGTCCGAAGACAAAAATGAATGTCTTGAAAGTAGATCAAAATAGACCAAGATAAAAAAAAGACTAAAATAGTATTTAAAAAAAGAAAGAAAGATAAGATCTATGATATAGTTTTTTTTTAAAACCTTGGAATATAAATTATATATATATTTTATCATATGTGAGAGTGATAATTCAAACTATGATTTTTTGATTATGAATRTATTCCCACTAGACCTTGACGAACGTAAATGGTATATTAAGTTTGGCCCTTTAAAAAATAATCCTACGAAATCATACGTAAAAAAAAACAAAAAAACAAAATACAAAAGTAATAGCCACGGATCAAATCTAAAAATTATTAATAAACCCACGATAATATTTGAATCGAGTTTTAAAATCAAAGATTAGCAAATAAAAGATTCAATATCTCCACAAAAAAAAAATTATTTAACTAAAAAATACAATTAGTCACAATTCTATTATTTTTAAATGGCAAACTAAATTAATGAAGGATACTAATTTGGCCCTTATTAAAATTTAGGGTTCAGTTGGATGAAATTAAAAAAAGTTTAGAGTTGAGTTTTAGTAATTCAAGCAATTTAGTGAATCAATAGAGTAAAAACAAATTTTAGAAGAGGTAAA